CCCCCTATCCAGGGACTGGGGCAAAGCCCCTGACAAGGCTCGTTCTACATGCCTCATCGACTCTGGTCAGCCCAACCTTATCCACCAACAGAACCCCTGAAAAACTGCGGCTGACCAGCCCAGCGCCTGCATATCAAGGAGGCCCCTTCGGCACACCCACCCTACCCCACAGCGCACATATCGCACCACACCAGTTTGGCACACATGTGCGCACCAGACGGTGCCACCCAGACTTTCCCTTACTCACCTTCCCCCCGCGGTGCCGTCCTACCGCATATACCGCAGCATGTGGATGGAGCTGATGTCATCGCCGGTGTGCGTCATCGTGTACCGCCACCCCGCGCGCGTCGCCCTGCGCCTGGCGCACCATGCCAACAAGGGCGTGTTTGCCAAGCTTGGTGCCGGTGGGCGGGGGCGTCGGGAGAAGATGTTGCATGTGGACGGTGCTGACCAACATTGGACCAGGGCTGGGTAGGGCGCCGCAGCTTTGTTGATGGTGCGGTCCAGGGCGCGCCAGACCCGAGGTTTTGAGGGTGGCGTTTTGTGCCGTGCCCTGGTAGAGAGGCCGCACCCTGCCCCTCCCTCCACCCTCGAACACCGCAACACCCATATACCCTGCCCCTGTCAATGCTGCATGTCAAACGCCAACCGCAACCATCCCTGTCCCGCCCCACAGACGCCTGGCTGAGTGTCTGGGAGCGCATGATGACGTCAGCCCTCAAAACGTGCCGCGGCTCGCCCACCGTCATCGTCCAAACCCTGCTGACGTCCCCTGAAAACCTCGGGACGTTCTATGACGTGATCCTGGCAGAGCTGTCCAAGGTTGGGGTGACGTCGTTGATCAGGCCGCCCGATGACGTCCTGAGGGAGCACTACACGCGGCACTACAAGCAGCACCACTGGCTGAACGAGACGGCAGCAAAACAGCAGCGGCCGCACAGCACAGAGGGCCGGGTTGGCGGAGGCAAGGGTGACACGGCGGCGGCCCGGAGTGGCGAGGGTGTGACATCGCGCCTGACTCGGAAAGAGTCGGGCGGGGTGCCGGCGGCGAATGTGAGCAGCAGCCGGGGTGGGGCGTCACGGCCGCCGCAGGCGGCACTTGAGGTTGGCAAGGCATGGCCCCATAATCGAAACGGCAGCGGCTGGTGGGACGCGTTTGCATGGGCCGACAGCGGTCTGAGGGCCGCGCCCGGCCGGGCCCCGGCGCCAGGCGCCGCCCCTGGTCCCCTGGCGGCAGCAGACGCGGACGCGGACGCCGTGGCGGCAGCGGCGGCGGCGATAGAGGAGGAGATGCTTTCGAAATGCAGCTACCAGGAAGTGACACCC